TATAGAAATAAATGAAGCTGATGATGTGCCAATGTGCTTCTTTCTTCTGTTTAGCGCTTTTCCTAAGAAATTGTAGTTTTGGCATTTCTTCAGCAGAAATAAACTCTCACAGTAATTTACTCGCACAATTAAAAAACTTCACGTGCGTTTTGCTCTTTCCTTGCTCTTGTTGTGTTTTGCTTTTCCCTTGCTCTTGTTGTTGAAACGCTGCTGCTAGCCTATTGCGACTGCTCGAGGCCATCCCCATTTGGCTGCCTGTATGACTATGTGATCCTTAATTGACTAACAGCCGATGTCAAACAAGAGTTACTGACATTAAGTTAGACAAAGTGTGATACCCAGCCCTCACTGCTTCAGTCAGTAGTTCTGACTGTTTAGACAGCGCCACATCCACTGTTTTGTCAAATTCTCTTCTGTCATTCCATATAATAAAAGAGGGCTGATGTTATAATTATCGGAGCATGGAGCAGCGATACACGCCTTTTCAAAACCGGCACTACAAATGGACTCATAACACACACGCGCATGTTCATAGCGTCCAAAGAACACGATGACAAGCTAGCTTATTGAAAAATGGCTTCCACGATTATATATTAGACGTGGAATATAACAACTGAGGCGTGTCTGCACATTTTTCTGTGCTCAGGACCATGTTCCGGGTTTTTCAGCTCAGCCACCAGTCTGTAATTTAGAGAATTTAGCCCATGACGCTGTTGTGGTGCTGCCTCTCAAATCTGCAGGTTGTTCACTTATGGTCTCTAGTGCATCCAATTTGAAAAACCCACTTCTCCGAAACACTGAATTAGGAGTTTCAAATTTTAACAGACTAATTGCTAATGGTTCTTAGGCTGAATATCGTCTTTCGAGCTTCCTTAGTTCTAGACAAGACTCCGCTGTGAAAACTGCTGAATAGGGCAATACCAACAAAAAAACGAAAAAGATTTATCGTTATTGGTGGGTAGTGCAGCGCAGTGGTCTGTTATTTGAGCCTGCCATATGATTGCGCGAAAGGAGACGGGGTAACTCTTATCTCACACGGCCACCTAGGCTCGCCGAAAGGCCTGTGCTATCCCCTGTACTCATCCTTTGAGCTGCTGACTGTGGGAAACCCGCGCTTATATAGTCCTTAAGCCTGGCAAACCCCGGCTTTGTCCCGTCGGGCAGCGGTTCCCGGGAGTCTGACTAGCCGGATTTCGAAGTATCAAACTGATCTTCGCGCATGATCTTGAGCTTAGCCATACAGATGTATACTACAAAGAGAAGTTAAGCTAACCATGTGGTAAGGATGACTGATAACAGAAGGACACCTTAAATGGTTACATGCTGAGCCGATCTACTAGAACTTGTGAAGTGGCACAAATGCAAAAAACACAAACAAGATAGCAAACGATGGAAAGGTTGCCGACTGCACAGATGAAAATCTAGACTGTAAATTAGTAGCTGTTTCATGCATTCCAGATAAGTAGCCTGACGGGAAAATATACCCCTATCGCAGAATTTTAGCCTTTTAGCTTTTACTTATCTAGAGTAGAGTAATTTTTGAGAGTCGAGAAGTACACACAAAAACTTATTATCCATGTGATTTGATTCAATGCGTGCCACAAATGTGTGGAAACCAAAAAAGTTCAACATTCTCTTTTAATAAGTGTAGATTAGAAGTATGTTTCTGTAGGCGATCTGTCCTAAAAAATACATTCAGTTACCAGTACCGAAACGCATCACCGAAAGTATTGGTAAGTGTCGTTGCGCCAAAAGCATTCGTTTTCTCCAATACACGAAATCCCAAAAAACACACCGACAGTTTAAAAGGGCGCCATACCTCACCTCCAAAATCCAGTAAATCATGAGACCAACGCAGCTACAGCTTATTGCTGACACAGAACTAAGTACAGTTCCTTCGTCAACGCTTTCTGAGCTTTCCGTAGTTTCGGCCACATAATTCATTCCTAAACCGTTTGTGTAAAATTCAACTCAGCGATATCAACAGTACTGTGCGCGTCATTGTATTAAAACAGCCGTGTTTGGTCCGCCGTATAGTCACTCGGCGATACGTAGGTCGGCACTGCATTGTCAAGAACAGCTCGTTAAGCCCTTTTTCACTAGCACTTTCTGTCATTCGAATAATTTTTGCTTCAGGAAAAGCGAAGAAGTATCCTTACTGCTGGTTGCCTTTGAATTACGCTTTGCTTCTTCAGTCCGAATCCACATGAAGTAATGACTCAACATTTAAAGGATTATTTCGACGATATTATCATTCAGTAACAGATGCATTGACACTGGTTGGAAGAGCGATTCGTTGAGTGAAAATCGGATCTGCATGTCGTTAAAAAAGTGGCCATTTCAAAAAATCACTCCTAAATTATGTGTTTCTTTTTCTGCGTTTTTGCATCTTCATTAAATATTTAAGAATTGCAAAAATACATATTGGCGAGAGGTTTTGTGTGTATGCTCGCATTTTGTCATCCGCTTTCAATTTAGCAAACAAGGAAGCCAGGACGCTGAAATGCTTGAAGCATGTTCCTGCCGCATGTGCAGTCCTCCCATTTAGATATGATAATTCGCTTATTCTGGGTCTCACGCACAGAAACCTAAAAAGATAAAGTGCCAATCCAGGAAATAAGCTAATTAAAATGCTTTAACTTTACAAGAATATTTGTAAATGTAAAATGTAAATGTAAAATAAGCTTTGGCGTTCGGATATGTAAATTTAAAATGAGCTTTGCCGTTCGCTTGTGATGCGTTTTCGGATACGTCAAAAACATTCGTAACGAGAAGCGAATTAGGCAAACAGGGGGTTGAAAGTTTACGAGAATGTTCTATGCTTATTTGCGACCGGAATGTTTCAAATTCAATTTTAAAGAACACCTAGTTACGCGTGCGCGAAACTGGCTAATTAAATGGGGGTACTGTTGCACCCAGTTAACTCGGTAACCAGACTGAGCAGGAAACAGCATTTTTTCAAGGGTGTGTGCTATTCAAATAAGGGCTGGCAAGCGTAAAACAAGCTTTTGTTTACGCATATGTCCGCGCACCGACGTATTAAATGCTCAGACTGCAAAGCTGCTGTCATTTCACTCCCTCGGCAATCAGCAAGGCAAGCGAGATAAAATTTTATGAGAATATTGCCTGATTCTGTGAAGTGCGAAGAACATATAACAACTTTGATAAATGTTAATGTCTTGCGCAGAGCTAAGGAGAATTTCAGGCTGCAAAAACGCATGTTTACAGCGGAGATCCTGGTAGGCGTTGCTTAAGTTCATTTTGACAGAATGTTTTCACATGATTATCTTTAAGTAATCAGAGACTGAGCTTCTTTTAGGAATTTGTCAGGCCTCCTGTCGGTATTGAACTCTTCCTTTCAAATGTTAGCACTAGAAGTGATACAAACTTTTGCATGATTACAGAAAAAAGTTGTTTTTTCAACTTCTTGGGAATTTTGTTTTTGAATAAAACTTCCACATCCTTTATTTTCCCTAAACAAACTTGAAAAGTTTCATCTTTTAATACTTTTCCAATTGTTTATGTCAAATTTATCAAAAAAAAAAAGAATTCTAAAAAATATTTTTTTTAGAAATATGCGATGCATTTGCTGCCTAAAACCATCGGTGGAGTGTGCCAACGATGTTCGAATAACACCGACAAAAATCGTGGAAGGTCCTATAACGGAAGAGGAAGATTCTCGGATTCCACTAACAAAGAAACAAAAATATGTGTTAACTAAAAACTGGAAAGGCATTGCGCGCGAAGTCAGCGTCGCGGGTGTTGAAATGTTCTTGAAGTAAGTTTCCGTTATTTCTCGCAGTAAGTGAAACTGTGATAGGATTGGGGTAGGGATTATTAAGTCGAAGTGTAGTCAATTTAAATCCGTCGAAGGGTCTTGCAGGAAGACGCTAAAAACAGCATGTGTGTCAAATCATTTTCAGTACTATTTTGACGAGAGTCGACTTTTGTGAAGCACAAGAACACAGTTCAGCGAAGTACGGAGCTCCGATGTTTGTGGTATTCGGATGCTCCCCCACACGCTAACCGCTGTAGACCTCTCGATTCTGAGCTGCATGTGTATGTATGTGTGCATGTGTGTACCATGGCCATGTGCGTGTGTGTGTGTGCACATGTGTGTATAGATGTGTATTGTCTTATATTTGAAATTTCGTACTTCATTTGTAAAGTTGGAATTCAAGAAGTTGAATTTTGGAAACGAGGCTCCCAATCAGTCGCTTTATTGTGTTGGTCTCTAGCTTCAGATCAAGATTCAAGCGGATCGAATAATCGAGGAACCTGGGTTCCAATCAATTTTTATGTGTTTTGTGCTGCAACAGTTGTACTAAAACATATTGTCGAGAATCTGCCTGTGTGTGCGTTTTGTGTGTGTTTCTTCCGAGTGCATTTTATCCAGCGATTTCAACTCGAGAACCACAGAAGCTAGGAAGCTGAAATGTTAAAAGGAGATCACTCACCCGCTTGTGATCTCTTAAGTTCACGTAGGCTTTATGTACGGTTGTGTGGAAACTGTGGTCCCTAAATTAACAGTTCAGGATGTACAGAAGGTAAGAAGCTGCAATTTTAGGAGAATGTTCCTTCCTTGTATGTGACCCCATGAGGCTCAATCCCGACCTCACTTGTGTTTAGGTCTTATGTATAAATAAGTGAAAGTTTTGGTGCGAAAACTATTAACTCGGGAGCCAGGAAAGCTAGGAACCCGCAATTTTAGGAGGATGCTTCCCGCCCGTGTATGACTCAGCAAACTCAAATTCAGCCCTCCTCTCGCATGCCTAGATCTCACGTAAAGCCTCAAAATTAATAACTTGGGGACCAGGAAAGCTAGGAAGCTGAAATTTCAGAATAATGCTCCTGACCGCCTATAAATTGTCTTTTCGCACGTTCAAGTCTCAGGTATGAGCAAACGAAAGTTTGACGCTAAAAATAATAAATCAATAACTACAAACAGTAAAATTCTGGTGCCAAAATTAACAAGTAAAGTAGCAAACATTAATGCTGTTTTCACTTTTAACAGCAAGTTTTCCTGAACAGAGTTGCACAGGAGTAAGAACAAGGTTGCAAAAGCGTCAGACGGACTGAAAAGCGTTCGCTGCGCAGGATTTTGTACAAAACGCATGATCGCATCAGCCGCTCCGCGCGCCACTATTTGTTGAATTTTGATATAGTACGAGCTACCAACGAGTAATTTTGTGCGTTTTTTGCATCTACGCAATGCAGAAAATGCATAATGACGATTGGTTGCCTGTGTGTGTCTGTCTGTCTGTATGGGCGCTGTGCATCTATACCGATTTTTCATCTCAAGACCTACAAAAGCTACAGGGCTGAAACTTTGAGAAATTAATATACGTGCTTATATGGGCCCCCATCTCCAAAATTGGCGCTCTTACTCGCGTGGTGGTCGCGTATAGGCCCGCCAAAATTTTTTTCGGGCAAGTTGCTAAATCGCGAACCTGGAAAGCTGGAAGGCTGGAATCTTAAGGGGGGTGTTCTTCCCTCAAGTAGGTCTTAATGAGTTCACACCCAGTCCCCGATATGCGTGGTTCCTATGTGCAAGCCCGTGAAAGTTTTTCATGGCTAAGTTGCTAACTCGGAAACCGAGATAGCTAGAAAGCTAAAATTTTAAAGGGAATTTTTTCAGACAGCTCTGGTGACCAGTCTCAGTTATCTTAGCTAAAAGCATTTAAAGGAAAAGCCGGTGCCTTTAGCAACAAAAACCTGCGGGAAACTGTACAAAAAACGCATCTTCGCACCGGCGGTCGATGCGCTGGCCATTTACTGGATTTTAAAATAAAGTACGGGTTGAATGACCTAACAACGAATTTAAATGTTTTTTTCGCTGGTCTGCGACCTCACTTTCCAAGTACAAGCTAGCATCGCAGTCCTTTTCAAGAAATTTTAACTTCACAACCCTTGTTCCCCAATTTTGCGGTTGCTCTGCTGAGTGCTGTGCGACATCAGTGCATAGCACTGTGTGAAAACAGTGCTGAATTGGTTCTTCGATTATCAATCTTGCGTGTTTCCGGAAAATCCTTCGATTTTATTCTGCAGCGCCAAGTTAATGAGTGTGTCGCTTGTGTGCAATCTTTCAGCAGCAGGTGCTCTCTGCACTAATGTGAATACGATATACTTCTACCAGTTGAATGTGTTTTTCCTGTGTTTTCATTTTTCTCTCAAAATAGGTCGGGAACCGCCGCGGATAAATCTGCACCCTCAGATACGTTTGGTTTTCAATTAAGAATTCACTGTTTCGTGGATTTCTTTTTTCCCGACTGCATAAGCCCAAACACAAAATACCAACAACTCAAATAATATTAGCAGGCTTTTTTGTAATAAAACCCTTTTAAAGGGAAGGCATAAATTGTGCAGGCATGTTTTTGATCGTTAATGCAGGAAGAACTAAGATAGCTTTCACGTCTCAAACTTGCCCTTTTGCACTCTAGAAGAAAACATTCAGCGCACAGTTTCCAAGAAACAATTTTGATGATTAATGTAAACATCCTAAAAAATTCCAATATTTTCTGCATCACATTCATAAATTCATGTCTGCCATTAATTTACTTCCGGCCTTTTGAGCCCTGCATCCCCTCAGTCTTGTTTCCTTCCCTGCAAGCTGACCGAACGTCATTTTTATGCGTTTTTTGCAGCTATGCAATGCAGAAAACGCATACTGACGAGAGGTTGCCTGTGTA